CACTAGTGAAGCTGCAGCTTACTGGACAAATTCCAGGTGGAGGACTGAAGAGAGGACTTGTTGGGGTCCTGGTGTTGAGGTTGGATGAAAGGGAAGAGCAAGCCTGAGAGCTCCATACCTATTGGGACAGTAAGATCATGTTTGAAACTGGCAAGTGGGACATGCTCTAGACTGGCAAGCTTGAAACCAGTAAGGTCTCTACCTGTTGGGAGGGGATATTAATGATGTAGCAGAAGAGAAGTTCCAGGCCAGCCAGGCAGATGCATTTGAAGCCCCTTGGCATAGACATATCACTCAGGGCTAGTGGACAGCAGCAGTGAGATGAGATCACCAAAAACTAGGCCTTTAAAATGCCACAATGCAAATGTCAGGTTTGGTGGTTTGGCTAAACTAAGAAGCAGAAGGCAAAAGGAAATGAAATACAGTGGGTGACATAGCCACACCATTGTTTTAGGACAGCAAAGTGGCAGCATAGTCTCATGTCAGTCCTGCTGTCCCCCTTCTTTCAGGAAACACGTCCTGATGACTGAGTCTCTCTAGACGAATTTCTAAATGGTCCTATTAAATAAGAAACACAGAGCCAAAAATAGGGGTGAAAGCCTTAGATATTAGGGAAATACTGAGAGCCACCAGCAAACCTTAACCTCACCATGCCACCTTAGCTTCCCAAGAGAGCTACTTCCTGTCTACCCAGGCTTTTATTGCCTTGCTGTTCTGCCCTCTCATTGGCTCTTAGCACAGCTACCTCACTTCCTGTTACTGCATGTCTGTACAGACTTCCGGGTCTCTATGGTTGGCACTGGGATTAAAGATGTGTGTCACCATGCTTGGCTGTTTCCCAGTGTCTCCTTCAACACATAGAGACCCTTCCTGCCATGTGTTCGAATTAAAGGCATGTTCTTCCACTGCCTGACTTTTGTGTTTACCTTAAAATGCCTTGCTATTCCCTTTGATCTCCAGGCAAACTTTATTTATTAACATACAAATGAAGTATCACCACAAGTCACCCTGGTGCTCCCACCTACAACAGTAGCTACCCTGTCCTGGAAGCTCAGTGCTGGCAGACAATCATCAAGTCAGGTAACAGGATTTTGGTGGCCCTGGGGTGTATGCGGGTGTCCTTTACATGAAAGCAAGGAGACTAGGACAACGGCTCCACTACCCACTGTAGCTGCTCCATTCTGAAAGCCGAATATGTCCTTATTAACTTAGTAAAGTTCCGTTTTCAGAACACACAGGTTTATGCATTCATTTTAAACGCTTTTATGAATGTATTCTTTATTTTTAATTTTTTATTTCAGGTCTCACTTGTAGTGTAGTTTGGCCAGAAACTCACTATGTGGCACAGAATGATCTCAAATTTCTGGCCATCTTCCTGCTCTGCCTCCTCTGGGATTATAGGAATTGGCCACTGTGCTTACTGAATATGTGTGGATGTGTCTGTGTCTTCCACGCTTATAAACCCGCTCTCACATGAAAGCTACGTGTGTGCAATGTTTGCCACTTGGCCTGGATCTCATTAGGCAGCCAACCAAGGCTTGCCTCCAAGTCCTGATGCTTTTGCCTCTGCCTCCCAAGATCCTGCCTGAGAGACTTGCTGACACCAATCTGCCTATCTCTACCACTTACCAAGGCATCTAGGTTCTTAATCTGAAAATGGAGAACATGGCTCTCCCAGTGTAGGGAAATAAATCCCCATTGCTCACTACTGGATTCTTAGTTCTCTGCCTAAATTACACGTTTCTCAGTGGGAATGGGGGCATTCTGATTGATGGGGGAAATCCTGCCCTCACTAAACTTGACTTGAGCATTCTTCTTTAAACTTTGAAAAAAGGTTCTAAAAGTTGATCTTCAGTAGTTCCACACAATGTGCTCCCAGATTTTACCCTTGTAGGTTCTCAGCCCCAGCCGGTCCCCTCCAGATGACCAGATCCTAGCAAACAGATCAAGCATGTCACTCTCCATCCACATTGAGAAGCTACACCACTTGCCTCCTATTATTGCCTGCATCAATGGAATGTGCCACAGTCACATTCAGCTCTGAAATCTGCCTCAAATGGTGGGGGTACAAATGATCTGATTACACAGATCTTACAGGATAGGGGAAAAGGGTGATAATATAGAGAATGGCACAAGAGTTCAGAAAATCCTGTAAGTTAGGGTTTGATGGAGAGCTCAAGGTGACCTTTGTTTCAGTCCGTTCTGTGTTGTGGTCAAGTAGACAGAAGAGGATTCCGCAGAGGAAATGATCTAATGATCATGTTAATCTGCAGCAGGGACCATGTGAGAGTAGGTAGAAAGGATAGAATGAAGACTGTAATATCATGCATGTGGCTGTCATGTCTCCCAAGTGAAAAATCACAAAGTGAAACCAGTGCCATCTGCCAGTGGCCCAACCGAGGAACTTCACAATAATGCTGGTGATAAGACATCCAGGAAGGAATACATGAGAAACTCCTCTGCTCATTAGGACTTGTCCAGGCGTCATTCAATGGGTACAAACAAGGCCACCATAAAGTTTGTCCCTCAAATTTCTTCTTGCATAACTTGAGTCAAGATACCCTCTTGTCTGTGGCCATGAATAGACAAGCCAACCCTGACTAAAGACATTGAATTCCTCCATGCATCTAATAGTAGTTGTGTATGAAGAACCACCAGAGGATGTGGGTTTCAGGTCAAAGTTCTTGATTTGGAGATGGAGGGAGTAAAGTCAAGGAGAGAGGGAGGAAGGGAGAGCTAGAGAGAGAGTGAAGGTCAGAGATGAAGGGAGACACTGTGTATGAGAGAGGCAGGTGGGGCAGACAGAGAAGCAGAGAGCAGAAGAAAGGAAGAGAGAGACTGTTCTCAGTCTCTGGTCCACTGTACGCATCATGGATGGCATCACTAGGCTTAAATACTGTCTAGTTGCACAATGCAATGAGTGGGCATCTCCTGCTGAAGTGTCTAGAATCACCCGGCCTTGCCTACAACAGCCCACCTACATTAGAGGAGAAGGAGCTTGTACTAAGTTGGAAAGACCTGGTTTTCAACTCTGGTGTTCTTTCTCTGCAGTTGTGTGCCTTAAGCTGCTCATGGACTCCTGCCACGTTCTTCAGAATCTGATTCCATGGAAGGACAACTTGTGTCAAGTTTCCCTCCCTGCCTCTGACTTCTAAAGCTCACCCTACTTCTGTCTCAAGGGGTGTTGGGAGGAACTCACTGGGGTGTAGCCCATACTAGGTTGTTCCTAGAAGCCAGTTAGGTCCTTACTCCCTAAAATGAAGCCTCGTATCACCCTTGGCAAAACCTTCTTTCCTTGTTCCAGCTACTTGATTCTTCAGTGGAAAAGGATCCCTTCTCTTGCCTGCTGGTTACTTACAAAATAATTGTACTTCACATGAGGGACCGTTGTGGAGGATGAGGTTAAACCATTCCAATAAGGACTTGGGATCTGTTAGGTCATAGGCTCGTGATAAGCAGTTAAATAACTTGCAAAAGACAGTAAGGTGTTGACACAGGACAAGAGATGAAGCAGTCAGATTTCCAGGACTTTTAGTCCAGCTGGAGGTACATAGTCATTCCAGTTCCAGCTTGGTCACATGGTCAGAGCCCGACTATAAAAACAAACACAAATAAACGTTTTAGAATGATCAGACATGATGGCACAAACAGTGAATCCTAGCACACTGGAAGCAGAGGCAGGGTGTCCACCTCTGTTCCATGACAGCCTGGTTGACATGGAGAGTTCCAGACTAACCCTGGTGAAATATGAGAAGAGAAGAGGAAGAGAGAAGAAAGGGAGAGAGGGACAGAGGAAGACAGAGGGAGGGAGGGATAGACAGAGAAAACTTGCTTTCAAGAGGGCAGAGGACCACGTTCTGGAGTCCGTTCTCTCCACATCACATGGCTGTGAGACATTGCACTCAGGGTGTCAGGCTAGGTTAAAAGCACCTTTATCCCCCAAGAGATCTCAGCTGCATGTCTGTTAGAGCTGCCTACTGATGGAGAGCAGCCTGCTGTAGACTTCACCCTGCGGTATTCTCCTTAGGTGTTCTGGAACTGTGCTGCACGTATGCAGTTTCAGATTTCAGATTCCTTCTCCTCTTTATTATTGGATTGTTTGCTTTACTCTTACAGAGGAAATGTTAACCAAGTATCTGTTAACTGTCGCCTGCATCTTCTCCTGAAGACCTGCTTCTCCAACTTTGGAAACAGGAGCCATTAAAAAATGTCCTGTGTTTGGTCTCTGTTGGGGGACCCCTGGCAGTAGGATCAGGATCCATCCCTGGTGCATAGGGTGGCTTTTTGGAGCCCACTCCCTATGGTGGGACAACTTTAGAGCCTTGAGGCAGGGGAAGGGGCTTGGACTCACCTCTACTGAATGTACCAGGCTCTGCTGACTCCCCATGGGGGAGATCTTACCTTCTTATAGGAGGGAATGTGGGGTGGGTTGGAGTGGAGAAGGCTGGAGGAGCAGAAGGAGAGAAGAGGGGGATCTGTGATTGGTATGTGAAATGAATAAAAAAATGTCATGAGAAACAAAAATGTCCTTTGCATGGCATGCATAGTGAGCTTGTTACCAAACAGACTAAGGATTTTCTGATTAAATGTTAAAACAAGTTGTAGCCCTCACATATATGGCAGGTAGTATGATGCCTTCTGCTTCCTTGATCACTGACTTGATCACTGAAAAAGAGTAAGCATTAAAGAAGTGAGTCCCTGCACAGGTTGGATTGGTAGCTAGATATGACTGAACTCAGGGATAGATCCATCACTAAGTGGCATTGCCTGTTTCTTCTAATGGTGCCTCAGTTCACTCATCACAAGCCACAGGAATTGTGCTGATATTTATACCATTACTGGGGTCTGCCACAGGGTAAACAGGCACTGTTCCACTAGCCCACCCTGCCCCAAACAACTGTATGGATTTTGATGATGTGACATGCCCTCTTCCGCATGAAAGACTTGTTACAGAACGGACACTCATCCCACCCAGCTTTACAAGACCTCTGAGTCAGATATCATGTCCAGTAGCTTAGACTTTATCAACATTAGACATAATAGATGGAACTGTAAGGAACAATACATAATCGGTTCACAAGTAGATTTTGCACTTAAGCCACGGCATTGCTATGCACTTTTTGGACAGAATTACAAGTCCTTTGCACAAGGTATGAAGGGCACACACAGGAGCATTAAAGGAAGAAGGCTTCTCCCTTGGAATACAAAGAGTGCAGTTACTAGACACAGGCTTCACATTTACAACTGCATGGGCTGACATTGGCACCATTGTAAGTAGAGATTGATTTCTGTAGAACATCTCCCTTCTGAGGAGCGGCCCTGTCATTCATTTCAGAATGAGAACCAGTCACATTCTCCCTCCTACACAATGCTCATCACCGGTTGGTGTTGGCTTGTCTCTTGTTGCTGTTTCTTCTTTCAAGTTTTAATGAAAACCAGCCATTCATTTTCGGGCCACTTAGCTTTTCAGAAGGAGTCACATTTTAAAACGACATTTAACACAGACCCTAGATGAGTGACTTGGAACCCAACCTGAATTAGACATATAAGTCATTCAGTATCAGGAGAAGTCCTCATGTTGCTATTTTAACATGAACTACACACCAGACTTGACAGAAAACATATCAAACTGTCATGAAGGACCTTTTGAAATCACAGTGGTGGAGCAAAACAGCAAAAGATTAAAAATGCCCATTGACCTCTTACTGAAAATACAGAAAAAGCCAAGACTGCTTTATGTGAATGCCATTGCTTTTTATAAACAAGGGAGGAGGATGCCTAGGTGATCATGTCAGAGATTGTCCTCTCTGCTGTAGTTTGAAGAAATGAGCTTCCTTCAAGATCTGGTTAATGTGGGAGTAAGGACCTTGGTCTTGGCCCAATGCATAGTCCACATCGGAGAACTCAGGGACATCGGGGTTAAGTTCAGCATGGTCCGGGTTTAAGCTGCTCTCTGGTACACTTTCTCTCTTAGTGTTATTGATGTTGCTGTGGATCTTTTCATTATCACTGCTTGACGACTGGAAAGAGAAAGACAGAAGGAGGATGGCTATTATGATACTGTCATCATTTCCTGTTCAGAAGAATACTGGCATCACACTCTACAAAAGGCTTCACAGTCTATAAAGTGCAATCACTTGGGTAGCTCATTCCTTTCTCACAGCAGCACTATAGCTCAAGCTGGTGGTTAATGGTACCCATTTGACAGAACAGGAAAGAGATGTCCCACAGGCCCAAAGGCCAGTCTCTGGGAATGTCAGGGAGAGGGTTCAAACACAGGCTTTCTCATTCCAAATGTGTCCACATATCCTCTGGCCCTGTTTGTACCGTGCATTCCAATTACCTGCACCAGGGAAGTGTGCTCCCAACCTCCAGGAGAGCAACAATCAATGCTGCAGACTGTGATAGGGATTTGATGAAACAACTAAGATGGAATGCAGGTCCACGTTCCAATGTGGCAAAGAAATAATGGGGAAA